GGGGGGGGGGGGGGGTCTGAATTGAGCGATCAATTATTAGACCCGGACGTCCCAACACTTGCTTCGCAAGACAAACTCAAGGTATCCCCTAAAGGGCTACCTTTCGTGAATTGATCCACTGGTCCAAATTGGCTCAACAAGAAAAATACAACCATGATTCACATGTCACATGATCGTGGAATTTGTCTTGATTGAATGCACATAGGTTGGTGCTCCCAGGCTCTTGGTAGCTACTATGCAGAGATGTAAAAAGTAGTTAGCCTCCAGACTCCAGACCCTTCTTTACAAATTCTGTCCCGTTCTGGCTGGGGCATGCTGCTTCATGAAATGTCCAAATCATTCCATCCGTTGCATTGTGGTTGTCATGTCCAGATCCATTCTGCAGATTTCCAGCCCCCAATCAATCCCAGCCTGACTGCATAGATATGCGAACAATGCCAGTGACGCGCCGGCAATCAGCACCACATATACTGCACCTCGATCACCTGGTATAGCCTTCGATCACCTCGAGTAGTGGTCTGTCCAACAACTTCTGCTGATCCAGGCTGATCCAAAACAGTTGGAACACTCTGGTGTTGCCTATCGTTGCCTCCCATGTTTTCAATGGAAGGGAGAAAAGAAGGGATTCATGCATCTGATTGCATGGCTTGGCACGGCTACCCAAGGAACCATCCCGAAGCCTCACCGAGGAGCTAAGGATAAACATTCAGCTCTGAACGTCTGAATTGGTATTCGCTGTTGTTGCTTGGTAGCCGCTGGTAGCTCCTTAAACGCTGTGGGGAAGTCTTGATAAGGCCAGCAAGTCCCATGACTGTCACCATCACCCAAAAAGACTGCCTCCTTGAAGTGGACAACATCAGCAACGGAAACCATGCCACAAAGCAAGACCACCGACGGAAGAAGGCAAACAATTTATTGTTGACTTATCCTGAAACAGTGCTGTGGCCTGAAATATCTTTAGCTGCTTTATGGATTCAACGGCGGCAACAAGGGGTACTAGTCACTAGTCCACTGGGACATCCATGCGGCTTCAGCCAAACGACAAAAAGATGGACCATTGAACGTGTGAGAAGTGTTGGACAACACAAATGCTGACAAACGAAGGCAGCACACAACTTTTATATATGATTGGTATGGAGATTGGTATGGCTAAGCCATCGCTATGAATCGATCTATTTATCGGCCCCAAGCTCCCTCGCACCGGTGTTGACAAGCTACTGCTATCGACCGGTGATGAACATCTTCTCACCGCCAAGATCGGCGCTGTCCGTGGGGAAAATGGAAACTGTGCTGAGAAGCTGCGCCATGCTGCGCCTTGGAAAACAAGATCTGAAGATCTTTGCTCAAGAGAACTGGGCGAAAGTGCGTGAGATTCCCCAACGATGCCTGTGAACTGCATCTGGGTGCTTCTGCTCATTGCTCATTGGTGTGTTCTAAGGAGCCCGGCTTTGCTTGCAACTCAGTGACCCGGGATACTCTTTAAGTTCTTGTGGAAAACTTTGGCGATTCATGCTTCGTGTGTGGAAATTCTATCAACATGATATCCAATAAATAGAAATCAACGTTAATTTTGCAAATAATTGTAAAATATTGTAAATTATGTTGATGTCCATATGTTGATGTCCATCTATTAGTTCCGTTCCTTCTCGCATCAACGAGAAGCTAAGCATGGCCCCGTGGGATTTTTCAATCCCTTCCGTCATCGAGGTTTTGTCGTCTTCTCAGTCGCCCATGCGGTGACCAAATGGTGAAGTTGCGAGGCCGCTTAAGTACCAGCACCTTGCAAGAGGTGTCTCTTCATAGCCTCTTATATTGAGGTTTATATAAGGGGTGTCCAAAAACCACCTGTTGGAAGGTCCCGGTGTAGGTTCATTTAAGCCGTAGGCCGAATTTGAGAACCTTGCCACTCCACCCAATCAACTCACCCACGTGCTGTCAAGGGTCCGACGTGGGTCTCTGATGTGGGTCTCCAACAGTGATTGCAGAACGTACATCGAACACGCCGTCCCCGGGTGTTTCGTGTGGCTGCAACTCCCAGCATGTGCCCAGAAAATCTCTAAAGAATGCTGTGCAGAATTGGTCCCAATCGATTTCAGGCGTTGTGAACTCCCTGTTCACTATATAGATCCTTTCACTAGATCCGCTGTCATTTTTGGCGAACCGCCCAGCATTCGTGGCCCGATCCTTTCTGGCGACGTCGTCTGGGTTTGGACCTCACTGCCCAGCCACGTCGCGCCCGTCGCTTCGTCAGTCGGACGAGCTTCTTCCAAACTAGGCGACAACAGCAGTGGGGGGGGACCATGCTGATGGCTTATGGGCTTATGGTTTGGATTGCTTGATGCATGCTTATGGCTTGTATCAAGCAGAACAAGATCTTGCTTGTGCTGTCTATCGGCTTCTAATAGTTGCAGTGCCATGTTTCTTTGCCAAAACCTGTTCACCCAACGCAAGTGATGATTTTTCGAGATCGCCCAGATCGAGTCAGAAGTCCCTTTCTTCAATCATTTGGTGGATGAGGTGCAGACTGGATCCACTTGACAAATCATGGAGATCTCAAAAAGAACGCCTTCCAATTCCAGTACGGGGGTCTTCGTATACACATTCATCACAAACTTGACCCACGCACGCATACCCTGACCCATGCCCAGGCAAGAAGCTTGAGGCGGAGCCGTCAGAAAATAGCGCGGCCACCCCATTTGAAGGCACAGCGCGGCCGAATGAATCCAGGAGTAAATGAAATCAAATCTAGCTAGAGCATTTGGCTGTGCAAGAGAATAGAAAAACCCCCGGTCTAGACCCCTTGCAAGGTTCGGACAGTAGACCCGTCTATCCAGCCAGTGCCAGCGGGGTGCCCATCCTCAAGTTCTTTTGCAGGCGACACTGTACCGGCCCAGCATCTTTGGATACTAGGTGATGGTAGGTGGTCTCCGGCTAACATGTTTGAAGCTTCACGATACATGATCCGTCGTATTGCCATGCACCATGTTTCCCTGTATATATTTGCTGTCGTACTGCTCTGTCGACGGATTCTGCGGGCGGAACGGACTTCGCAGCGGTCGCCCCATGGCTCTGCCGCCCAAGCGGCTCGACCAGGTACTTCTCGCCCTGCCTGGCGCTGGCGGAGGAACCGCCGTTGGCACGGTCAAGCGGATTCCGGTCTCACCGAAAACAAATACATGTAATGACGAAACCAATAAATATACAACATGTGCATACAAGAAACGACTTCATTTGTTCTATGAGTTGATCAAGTCTTGATATATGAAAAAAACAAACAAAAAAAGGTCGAGGTGATGCCAGGGGAGAATCATCAGAGTCCGCACTCCGTGGACAGGTCGATCAAGTGGCACACCCATTTTTTTGAGCAAGCAAAACCGATGGTATATATATCATGATTTTTAGCTGTATTGAGATGTAATTATACGCTGTAATTGGGATGTATTATTATATTAAGTTGTTATACGTACCTCTATTATAGTTCTGTGTTAGCATGAGTTAGCATGCCCCATTATAATTGAAGATACCTATACCGCCTATACAGGTTTGCCTTTCGGAGAAGGCCTTGCAAAAAAATCTCCGCACAGGTTAGGGCGTTCCCCTGAAAGGATCCGTTGGAAAGCAGGCTCGGCTGGATTTTTGAGGCGCTCGGGTCCAAAAGGATCACAGCAATGTCATGCGGATTTCACTGCAGCCACATGCAAAAATCTGCAGAAACTCGCCAACAGTTTTTGAGGTCGCGCCGGATTCCACCCACGTTCCCCCAAAACAAGGGGAGCTAACCTGAAACAAACACCGAATACCTCAGAATAACCCTATAGCATCCTATAGCCATCTATAGCCTCTGTTGGTGCGCTATAGACCACTCAACCACGAGAATTCGCCACCTGTAGCAACCTTCGCTGCCGGCAGCGCCTGGGGTGTTCCGCCATCTGTGCCCAGGTGGCAAAGTGGTGAAGAACCTGTGGCACCGGTCGCAGAGTGGCCCAGGCATGGAATCGCCACCAACCCTGAACCCAAGGAGAGGTCAATAGGCCAGTTTAATGGATGGTCTGGGTATGTCTGGGAGCCCGCAAAGGGCTCACTGAAGCTCTGTGGCTTGCCCTTGCGCCCTTGGCACTGAGCTTAACCTGGTCCCCATTGACGACCCGACTCCTGAATCGTATCCCTGGAAATCACGGTTGGCCAAACTGTCATTAAACTGTCCATCTGTTGCACCATCTACGCAGTCAAAGAGACTACAAACTCTGAACACTCTGTATCAAGAGTCGCTATCAACTTTCCATCTGTTGCATTTGGACACCAATGCCATCCAATGCACCAAAAAGGTTATCTTCCAGTGGTGCCCACAATCCATTCACTTGGGGACATGTGACACCACCCAACTCCATGTGACTCCTGGATAGGTTGTCCACCGACGTTCGGGGGCTATGATCATTCTGGCTCGCCGGCTTCGGACGTCCCGAACGTGCGTTACCAATGAGTCTGGACTTCAGATCTCCAGTGGCACCAATGAACATGGACCAGCTCGAGAAACCGAAGCAAACCAATCAACGGATCAACCCATCGACCATCCGACCAACTAAAAAGAACAACATGACGGGTATAAAAACAAATCCATTGAGTGTTGGATCGCAACACCCTACTGAGTAAACTCTTGACATGGATTCAGAACAACCTCCTTTCACGTGGGGGGTTTATTCATCAAGAGTCCACATGATATACTGAGTTTTTACTCCATCCCTGAGGTCCCGCACAATGGACCCCGCGATGGCCACGTTCAACGAGGCCGTGGCGCCTGGGGCGTCAATCCCAAAGGGCCGTAAGGTCCAGGGTACCATCAGGTACTCCATGGGCCTGCCAAACTTGGCCGAACAGGCCAGGGGGTGGTTGACTTGGGGTCAATGAAGGCATATGTTCCGTATATACATGCTAGTTCCAGATGGAGAGTTTGGGTACAGCGCCAGCTGAGGGTGGTCACTTTGTGAGGATGTCTTTCGACCCTCAACCTTTTCATATGGGGGATTGAAATACAATCAAGAGCTCTCTCTCTCTCTCTCTTCACCTCTATATATAGTACACTTGGACCATTGTCCATGTCAATCTGACCAAAAATGGCTTTATCTTCCTGCTTGAGCTTGATTGATTATGTCCAGGTGTTGCATTTTGTAAAGGTCTTGGATGGTCTTGGCATGTCAAGTGGTGAATTTGACAGTATGTTTGAAAACTAGAGGCTGTGTGGCTATAATCTACTGGTACTCAAAAAGTGGTGATTGTTCTACCCTGTCAGGGATTGTCAGTGGTTTACCTTGTGTTGGGAGTGAGACATCATTTTGTAACCCCTCCCATGCCCCAGAATGCACCACTTCAAAGAAAATGCCCGACCGTTCCTTCGACATCGATCGACCGTGCCTTCCGACCGTGATGCGGTGGCCAAACACAGTGCCATATGCTCAAGCCCTCAAGCCAACATTCTTGAGCATGACTTATGTGTACAGTTTGAACAAACAAACATCTACACCCTATACAGTTTGAGGGAGTACAACAAACATCAAGCCTCAAGCCAACATTCTCAAGCGAACACGCCAACATCTACACCCTGGCCCCCCATCTGTTCCAGCGCCTGTATGCTGCGGGATGTACACAAAGAAGTCGCACGCGGCCCGCTGGGCGGCCGACATCCCTTCGCCTGGGCGGCACCCATGCTACCTCTGGGAGTCTCATAGTACGTAGTCAAACGTGCAGCAGAATTGCAGTCCGAAACACGACTAATTAATGGGACTGGCATATTTACAAACATTGACCCCTTTTCACCCACCTCAATGGGGCGGTCAATATGCCAGTCCCATGAATGAAGTGTCTGGGAGTGATCCATTGTTTTGCTTAATGGAGTGTTTGGGTTACGAACGCCCAATGGATGATGGTTGAAGGCCTTTCTCAAGTGATCATCCTTTACCGGTCTCTTATTGGTTAGTGGGGCACGCCCTAATATCAACGCATGTTCTGTCTTTTACCCGCTTCCTGACCCTCAAGTCTGAGACACCGCTTACCAAGTCGTTTTCCATGTCGCTGATTATATACACATACAGTACAGTAATTAGGTTGAATTCATATACGTCGATCTATATAACTTATAGCCTCTGCAGAGCTACCTTTCATCACTCATTGCCTTTCTGTGAAAACATAGTTCAATAATTGACCCACAAACATTCACAGGGAACGCCTGTCATTGTTGACACCTTGGATGCGTCATCACCAATCTCCACAAGTCAAACCTGCAAACCTGCAGGATAAACATGAGCAAATGAAAGCCAGGAGTTCCCAGGTCCAAGAAGTTATTGTATAATGCACACCCTCCAAGGGCAAAAAGAGATTTAAACGAAAATGGTAGTGTTATGATATTTTATGTAGTGTTGGTTCATAAACATCTCTGGGTGACCCATCTTGTTGTGCTGTTCCTTCCTCTCACCTCGTGTTTTTCACCACGCACCCCCCAAAAATACAACAACCCACAGGCCATGTCTGGCCTTCGTTGCCCAGCATGAAAGCGGTAGATCCCGTGAATGGGTGCTTGGTGACCTGTGGTGCGACAGGGGCCGAAAGCGGGTGGCCCGGGCGATCTGCAGCAAACCAGTAGGGGCGGACCCTCCGGAAGGATAACTACCACGGGTGGGCCTGGAAGGAAAACATATCCGCACTAAGTAACAATTTCTACTACATCCACTGGAAAGGACGGGACAGAACCAGAACCATTGAAAGGACATCGACACCAAAATGGGCCACCTATGGATCTGGAGCGCTCTATGCCCCTTGTGCTGCTGGAGGTCCGCCTTCACTCCCAGGAACCGAAGACAACACCAAAGACGGAGGCTCGGGTGGACCATGGTGGAACCAGCAACCGTACTTTCCGTATAGGGATCCAGTCGCACCTTCTCACAAGGTGAGGACGGAGACTATTCGAGTAGGCTTGGAGGGCCCAAGTACCTTCTGAAAAGGTATGTGGATCTTTAGGGTTTTGAGAAAGAAACCAACGGATCAGGAACAATCGACTGATAAATCCACATGGAAGCACTAATCCACATGGAAGACATGGATGCACTTGTTTCTACTGATTGGCAAGGTCCAGAAGCCCTTGGGAAACAATCGGGGGCTAGCAATTGGCTTAAGTTGTCCTAGATGAGCCTGTAGTTCAAGCAACATTCATGGTCCCCACCAAAACTCTAAACATGTTGCTGTGCATGATGCCTGAAAAGCCGAGTTGGATTCCCAACCTGAACCACAGGTCATAGGTCAACATGGCCGAATGATGCTGAATTCACATCATTCGACTACTATGAATGATGATGGAATATTCATGGAGTCCCTCCCTCCCTCTGATCAGTTATAGCCCTCCCTCTGTGGTCAATTGATCAACCCACCAATGGCTACAACTGATGCAGCTCATCATCTACCAGTGCTCGACGGCTACCCGTGGCGCCGCACCGACTCTGCACGCTCGTCGATCTCGATGCCGCAAATCCGAGCTCCTCGGGGGCGCTCACCACGCGGAGCGAACGTTGACCTCACGCGACGTGGTCCAATCCAGCCATTGGGGGTCCTATTGGCCCAGTTTGTGCATGAAGTCTTTCCTGGGCTTCCTGACTCTTGGCAAAACGGTGTCCCAACTCTGTCTTCTCCCCGTTTTGGATGGCCCAACACCCTCACTGCTTCTGGGACCAGCACCTTCGACCAATCAGCAACCACGTAACTACGGCACCACTTTCCGCCCAAGTGGGTGGAATTCATGCAATGACCATCAAGAACCATCAAGAACCAACAACTTGGCCCAAAAATGACCTGTCTTCGACTGGCACCATTTAAACATGTTTTAAGCGACATTAGGGGTGGTTGACCCGGAGTTCTCCCGGTACCCTGAGCCTCCTTAGTCCAACAAAAACACTGGCTATGAACCAGTGTGAATTGGAACTTGGAACCAACGATGGGTTGTTGCTCCGCAGTTCGTATGCCCAGGATCGGTGCTTCCAATCACCTACCTGTAGATCATTCCCAGGTCTATAGACATAATTTCCACCAGATCGGTCCTCGGCTCGAGAGCTCCGCTTTGGCCGCCTCAAAAAAGCGGAGCTAAGTGGTGGATCTGCTGATCTCCCCCCCACAGTGTCTGGCAGTAATATGCTGGAAGAACACCGGGGACCCTGGTGACGAAGCTCATTGCGAACGAGCATTGCTTGGAGAAAGGGTCTGAGCATTGGTGGGTTTGGGGGGGTGACGTTTGAAGAATTTAAAGGATGTATACTCGTTTGGGATCCGTCTCATTGGGGTGCAAAGCAGTGTCCGTGTGCTCATGGCACAGTGGAAATTCCAAGGTGTGAGTCAAAGATTATGAAAATAGGAAACAAAAACACAAAACATCACGAAACACACATTGAAAGTTATTATTGGACCATATTGGATTCTTCCAGCCAATGGGGAGCACTATCCAAACCAAAAGAGTTATAATCAGCTACCAAGCAACTCGACCTGGAGGAGACTCGGAGATATGCTAGATATGGAGGAAAGGCAATAATGCCCTAGGGATTCAAGTACCTTCTCAGAAGTTGAGGACCGAGACTCTTTTATGTAGGTGCCAGGATGGTCCAGCCGTACCTTCTGAGGTATGACTGGATCCCTAGGGATGATGAAAGAAGAATCAAAAACGGTCAGCTCCTCCATGGATGAGGTGGATCGATTGGGTCATCGATCTAGTCTGGGCCCTGCCAGTCCACTTCTCCCTGCGTCGCCGGGCCGAGTCCAGTTCCGTGGATCTTCTGGACCCCGAAAAAACCGTGCAGCAAGACTGGACACATCTAGCACTGGGAAGAAGAGTAGGACCAACACACCTGGAAGACTAGGACCATGCACGAACTCTCGGTGCCCAACAAGGCTCGGCGTTTTCTTGATCGTTTCTGGTTCCCCGCCGCCTGGAGGGTCTCGAAGTGCCGGACGTTGGCCTGGTGTGGAGCGACCCGAAGCGGGGCTTAAAGCCGAGAGGCCCGGTGCTTCACAGGACACCGATTTGTCATCCCATTTCATCCTAGTTCATCCTTTCATGGCCATCCAGCACTGGCCATCCAGCCCGGTTAGCTAAAAAACGTTAAAAATACGTCAAGCTAGTTGGACCTGGGTTTGGAAATTGCCATTGACCACGCGCAAGGCTCAATCAGTGGCTCAATCCTATAAAGGAGCCACAGGAGCAAGCTGCACACCCTCTCCTGGGCCCTACAAAAAGCATCTTCAAGAACGACTCCTAAGAATGGTCCATCTATGGTTGACAGTAGTTCCTGAATGATCCTCACCATTCCCCCCATGTCCATCTAGGTTCGCCCCACATGAGCCACAGTGCCCTGGTTGCCAAAGGTCCTCGGTGCGTCGGTGCGTCGCGGGCGCGGAGAGCATCCCGGAGAGCATGAGCAATGAGTGCACATGGACAATCCATGCCTCCCATCCACATCCCAAGACCAGCTTGCTCGTCCAATCGTGAAGTGGTTTTTCCGAGAAAGATCATTGAGAGCTATTTGGTTGGACCTTCAGTTCTGTGAGCTCTTTGGAGTCTCATCCAACCTCTTGGGAGGATCAAAACAAATTGGATGAACATACTTTTGGGATCTTCTTTTGGGGCCAAGTCACTAGATTAAGTTACATAGTTATCTTCCGATGCGGAAGTTGCCCGGCCTAAGTCACTCGCACTCCCTCAGCGCATCTATCTACACCCTGGAAGACTAACATGGACCCTAAAAACCACTGGTTGGTAAAGGAAAACACTCTTCCAGGGGGCCGTTGTCAGGGTCTACGTTAGTTTTCGGGAGTGTATGTCCATTCTTCTGGATGAAGCACAAGGTCAGCGTGTTGAGCGGTCCTTTTCGGTCGAGGTCGCTGCGGTCGCTTCACAAGGCCAGCATCGTCTAGTGATGTCTCATAAGAGGTTGAGAGACAGGCCTTCCAACCAAGAGAGGTTGAGAGACCTTATGAGGCCCTGGGGCTATAAGGCTCTTCAACCTCTGTCGGAAGCTTCCAGTTGGGCTTCCGGTGTTTGCCTCGCATGCCGCAGACCTGGCCTCACAGCGGACCTGACACGAGGCACGTCGATCGACGTCCTTTCGCCTTTCAGCGGCTCAACGTTGCCCGCCCTCCAACGGAAGTGGATGGCACGGCCTGCGAGTAGAGGAAAACAGTCCTCCTTTCAGGGCCGTGCCATCCACTTCCATGCTTGTTGGATGGAGGGTACATGGGAAAGATTCATGGCATCAGGTTAGGCTCAACAACTAACTCATCATCTAAAATTTCCGTCAACTTCACCGTCTGCCGTCTGGCTGTGTGGCGTGGTCTCACAGTTCCTTATGGTCAGCCACGCTCCAGCTGATGAGATCTGGCTGAACTTTCTTGCATGGAATCCATCAGCGTTACTGCTTGCTGACTTTGCCCACCCTTCTCGCAGGCATTGATGGCCGCATTGTAGCTGATGACATCTGGCTGAACTTGCGTCTTCGGCATCGCACAAAACAACATTAAGGCTTGCATCCATTGCCCGCCCTGGTCACAGGCACAAATGACGGCATTGTAGCTTATGACGCTTGGCAGAATGCGCGAAGTGGGCATGGCCTCAAACAACTTCAGTGCTTGCTGCCATTGCCCGCCCTTCTCACAGGCACTGAAGACAGAGTTGTAGCTGATGACATTGGGTACAACGTCTGCCTCGGGCATGGCCTCAAAAAGCAGCAAGGCTTGCCGCCAATGCCCGCCCTGCTCACAAGCACTGATGGTGGCACTGTAGCTAATGACATTGGGTTGAACACTTGCCTTGGACATCGCATAAAACAAGTCCAATGCGTGCCTCAATTGCCCCCCCTTCTCACAGGCACTGATGGCGGCATTGTAGCTGATGACGTTGGGTTGAACTTTTGACTGTGGCATGTCGTCAAAAAACTTCAACGCTTTCTGCCACTGCCCGCCTTTCTCACAAGCACTGATGACCGCATTGTAGATGATGTTGTCTGGCTGAACTTTTGCCCTGGGCATGACCTCAAACAACTTCAATGCTTGCTGCCATTGCCCGCCCTTCTCACAGGCACTGATGGCCGCACTGTAGCTGATGACATTGGCTTGAACTCTTGCCTTGGGCATGGCCTCAAACAACTTCAATGCTTGCTGCCACTGCCCGCCCTTCTCACAAGCACTGATGGCTGCACTGTAGCTGACAAGATCTGGCTGCATTTTTGCTTCAGGCATGTTGTCCAACAACGTCAATGCCTGCTGCCATTGCTCGCCCTTTTCACAGGCACTGATGGCCGCACTGCAGCTGATGATATTGGGTTGAATGCTGGCGTCTGGCATTGTACCAAACAAGTTCATTGCATGCTGCCATTGCCCGCCCTTCTCACAGGCACTGATGGCCGCATTGTAGCTGATGACATCTGGCTGAACTTGTGACATGGGCATAACCTCAAACAGCTTCAATGCATGCTGCCACTGCCCGCCCTTTTCACAGGCGCTGATGGCCGCATTGTGGCAAATGAGATCTGGTTCAAATCTTGCCTTGGACATTGACTCGATCAAGCTCAATGCTCCCTGCCATTGCCCGCCCTTCTGACACGCGTTGATGGCCGCACTGCAGCTGATGATATCTGGCTGAACTTTCGCCTGTGGCATGGCGTTGAACAATATCAACGCATGCTGCCATTTGTTCGCCTTTGTGCAGGTTGACATCCCGTCCATGAAATGGGACACATCAAGCTTTGTGTTGCCATCTTTCCTGATGGCCTCCAAAGCAGCATACACCAAAGACCATTGCTTTTGCTCACGAAACGTCTTGAAGACTCGCTGAAGGATCTGCTTCGAAGGCCTCACTTCTGGCAGCAAAATCACCAGATTGCCTCAGATTGCAGGTGTCCAAAGGAGAAAAACCTTGTGGATCCACATACTCTCTGAGAAGGTGATTTGTCCTTTGTTTGGAGGCTCCACGTACCTTCTGAGAAGGTATGTGGATACCTAGGGGGGAAACCACTAACGACACTTCTGTGGGCGGCATTGCTGTGTCACAGGTGGACACCAAAAGTGACGACGAAACCATCCATGGGACTGACATCTACCCCATGAAAATCACAAATGCATTTAAGCTCCATCCATGTAAGCTGTAAGAAAGATGCTGTAAGTATATAACTAGTCCAGTAGCATGGATGGTCTAGGACAGTTTCATGGAAAGCCTCAAGTCTGGCTGAAACTTCAATTTGATGCAACTGAAGAGCTATATTAGTTGGAACTGATTGATATCTGCTGAAATGTGATCTTGGATTCCCACATTCACCCAAGGTTTTACGGACGATTCACGGTTCCTGCAAGAGCTTCCAGCCAACAAAAACCATCGTGACCTGCACTAACTCATTGACAGTCCTTGAATACAGTACCCAAACACTCCATGTGCTCTCTGGTCTGTCTGGTCTGACTGCCACATATACTTGCATTGACTCCGGGTCAACCATCCCCAAGAAAAACAGCCCGGTCCCAAAGAAGTCGTGCTTATCGTGTTTGGGGTAGGTACGAATACTGCCCATGTAATTAAGTCTTTAACATATCCACAACCCCACATGCCAATCCGGGATCATCCAGGTCTCCTTCACTCATGGCTTTGCACAGCTTCGTCACGGACATCTGCATGTCATCGCTTCGCAGTGCCGCCCTGCTGCGATCGACTCGCCGTTTTCCACTTTTCCTCATCGTGAAATTCGGCACAGGAACTCCCTACGGGATTTGAGTGGGGAAATCAATGATTGAATGAGCAGAATCATCTGAAACATCTCCATTTTCTTGGGGGCATCGCCTATACCGGTTGGATGGAGCTGCACAACACGGAAAAACACGCCTACGGAGTGGGGCACGGGATCCCCGGCACCACCTTTCCCAAACCAAACGAATGGGACGAACGAAGAGTTTCGCAACCATGGATGGATCCTTTTCATGTGGTAGATCGATGTATACGATTGTATACGTTGGGTCTGTCCTATTGGGTCTAGTGGATGAGGATGATGATGATGATGATGATGATGATGATGATGATGATGATGATGA